GCATCCCCTATCAAGGTGCTGCCCAGGATGTCATCTCTCCAAGGAGAAATTTCCCTCATAGCTCATCCAGGTACCAGGAAAAGCTGGACATCTCCTTAAAAACTGTTTTTACCTTGTAAATAATACCATTTCCTTGTTTGATTTGGTATCAAGAAAGCTCAGAGTCAAATATACCTCTAGCAACTGTAAAATATCTTAAAAATAATCAGCACCGAAGATTGAGCATGCAGTACATGCTCAGAACATTCCACGCAATCCTTTGCACTTAATCCTCATAGTCTTGAGAGGTAGCTTAGTTTACTATCCTTTTGTATGGGATGAGTAATGACTTCCAAAGATATCCATTTCTTCCACTAAATGTTACCTTAACTGGCAAAAGAAAGTTAGCAATTGTGATTAAATTAAGGATCTTGAGATAGTGAGATTATGCCAATCACAAGTGTCCTCATAAGAAGGAAGAAAAGGGAGATTTGACACAGAAGAAAGCAATGTGATAGCTGAAGCAAGATGCTATGTTGTTGGCTTGGAAGATAGAAGAAGAGGCTGTGAGCCGAGTAATGCGAAGTATGCAGCTGTTGAAGCTGGAAAAGACAAGGAATGAGATTTGCCCCTAGCGTTTCCAAGACAGTGTGGCCTTGACCAAGGGAAACTGACTTTGGACTTCTGAACTCCAGAACTCTAAAAGAATAAATGTGTGTCATTTTAAGCCACCAAGTGGTAACTTGTTACAGCAGCTATAGGAAACTCATACACCCTCTTTACAATCAATAACAGGAGACTTAGAGAATATTGCCCAAGGGTTGGGATGAGATCCAGACCCAAGATCTTATCCTTATACTGCCTCATCTGTTGTGTGTCCTGACCGCCCTGGTTTTATTATTCCCCTTGTTTTCCCTCCCTTTATCCAGCTCCTATCACTGCTAGTTAATCTTCTCATCATGAGTGCTTTTGTAATCTACCTCCTGTCTTGGTGTGGTAGAGGCAGCATATAAATATCTTGGTGGACATTTGTGCCATGTGCATGAGGTGGGGTCCCTGGGGTTTTTCTAGGTCTACAAAGTGTCTTATGATTTAACCAGAGAAAGGCCCCTGGCTGCTTTTGTTCCCCCTTTGCTTTGTAAAGACTGTTGCTCTCTCCTTTACTGTAGCACTAACAGTTGGACAGAGCAAGACTTCTGTTTTTTTTTCAGAAAACTTTGCTCACTTCCTGGTCAGTATTCAGAGGCCAGTGAATGCTTATGAGGTTCTTTCTTTTCAAGAAGTTTTGTATTATTCAGAAGAATTTGTAGCCTAAGAGTTCCTCTTTCTACTAAAACTACAAAGCAATATAGTAGGGAAAAATTAAGCAGTAAACCCAGAAAACAATGGACCCTTTGTTTTGTCAGCTGACCCCCCCAACATGAGTGTTGAAATTCTTGAAGCCCCCAAACACCAGGGCTGGGCAGGGCACCACAACATGTAGCCTTTGCACTCTATTATCAGTGTGAAGTCCTTGGGGATGTGGGAGGGACTGCCCCACTGTGCATTCAGAGGCTGAAAGGGGACCATCTTCATCTGGAAGGGGCATGCAACCAGTTGGGTTCTGACAGCTTGATGGCTTTCAAGACACGAAGCAGCACCCATCTCTAGAGAAGTTCCAAGGACTCTGCTTTCCTTTCTGCTAACTCCAAAGTGTATCAAATATCCCCTCTGACATTAAGGCCCTTGAAATCATCTGGGTCAGGTTCCCATCATGTCTTTCCTAAATTATTGATTCCACAAACTACAAATCCTGCCTGTAACCCCAAAGAGCTTTCAATCTAATATCTGTGCTCCTACTCATTACCTGAGGGACCTTTTCCAAAATGCATTCTCCTCATTGCCAAAGGGATGCAACTCAACCTTGTTTGGGTCTCCTGATATATTATCCAGAGTCCACCAGAGACACATAACTGATGGAATTGCATATGTAATATATACATATTATAGATGCTACATATCATATTTAATACATATATATTCTAAAAAGAGATTTATTTTGAGATATAGGCTCCCATGGTTATCGAGGCTGGGAAGTGCCACAACCTGCTACCTGGGAGTTGGGGACCCCAGAAAGCTGATGGTATAGTTCACAGCCTGGGGAACCAGGAGTGCTGTAAGCAAGAGACAGAGCCCAGCTCAGTGGTCAGGTGCAGTCAGGCAGAGAGCAAATGTTCCTTTCTTGCACCTTTTTGTTCCATCCAGGCTTCCAAGAGACTGGAAGATACCCATCTTCATTGATGAGGGTGACCAACTCTACTCAGTCCAGTGATTTAAATGCTAATCTCTCTTGGAATCACCCTCATAGACACATCCCAAAATAATATTTACCATTTCTCTAGGCATCACTCTCCCAATCAAGTTGACGCATAAAATTAACCACCACACTGGGGCTCTGCCCACATCACCCACCTCATCTCTCACCTCCTCATGTTCCCATCCTTCTGCAGAGCTCTGAACTCTGCCTGGCCACATCTCCCTACTTCACACATGACATCCCCTCCTTCCCCCCTGTCTTCCATTTACCTTCAGGCAAAACAATAGCAGAAAATTAAGAGCAAAAGCTATGGAGTTAGATAGGCTTTGGATCAATTTATTTTAATTGCATAAATATTTACTCAGCACCTTCTCAGTGCCTCCAGGGATGTAACTCTGCCTCTGTTGCTTGTGTGGCCTTGGAAAGGTTATCTGACATCTCTAAGTCTTAGTTTACACATCTGTAAAGCAACACATAGAAAGCACTTGAGTCCTAGTTGGTGTAGCTCAGTGGATTGGCCACAGGCCTGTGAACCAAAGGGTGATCATTTTGATTCCCAGTTGGGGCATGCCTGGGTTGCCAGCCAGGTCTCCAGTAGGGGGCGTGCAAGAGGCAACTACACATTGATATTTCTCTCCATCTCCTTCTCCTTCCCTTCCCTTCCCTTCCCTTCTTTCTAAAAATAAATAAATAAAATATTTAAAAAAGAAATCTTTCATGAATATGATGTCAGAGTTATCATTTGTATCTTTCTTTAAAAGGTTAAACTCAAGCTTGATGATCCTTCCTCAGACAGATTTAGTTCCCAACCTCACTTGCTCCAACCACCATAAACCCTGGTATACAATGCATGCCTCTATTCCAGCCCTTTATACAAAGCATTTATCCCATTATTTGTTTGACCCTCCACCTACTCTTGGATGAGAATAGCATCTCCTTCACTCCTTTTTTCTGGGTTCCAGAGGAGGGCTTATGCTACATTCACTGACTCCCTGGAGCAGAGGGAGGAGTTATCCCCAGGGGGGCAAGTGCTATGCTCCTGTTCTTTCCTTGATGTGCCAGCCACTCTTGGCTCTTGTGGCAGCAGCTTGAAAGGCTGTGCCAGGCTTGGTTGTAGGCTGAAGGCTGGTCAGTGAGAGGGACAAGCCATGGCAACTTTTATGCGAGGATAAATTAGGAAAACAAATCCTGAGCAGTCCATTCATCTCAAACCTTGCTTGCCATTCTGCACCTAAAATGATTAGAAGCCAGCAGAAAGCATCTCATCCCCACAGAAAGAGCAAGAGTGATGAGATCAACACACCAACATCCAGCCATTCATTCTCTTTTACATTAAAAAACAAAAAATTTTTGGGTACTTTAATGTTCCATGTTCCTTCTTTTTAAAGGAATAAGCCAAAAGTGGAGCTGTCTCAGAGAGGTCCAGATAGTCAGCTCCTTGGGTGGTAGCTATAAGGACCAGCTGCCTGGTCAAAGACAACATGTCCACTACTCTGCAGCTTAGAGTAGGGACAACTTAGATGCTTAACAAGCATCTCCTTTCCACCTCCTTCAGTTGAAACATATTTGGCCCACTGTCTATCTCCAAAGTGTATTTCACAATGTCCTGTATTTTCATGACCCTGTTTCTCTACTCTTCATTCAAGATATGATCCTGAGTCTAGGCTCATTTCTCCCCACTCAGTGCCCCTTAATGGACTGAATTGGGTCCCTCCCCTAATTCATATGTTGAAGTCCTAACCCTCAGTACCTTAGAATATGACTGCAGTTAGACATAGGGCCTTTAAAGAAGTGATTAAGGTTAAGCAAGGTTATATGAGTGGGCCCTAATCCAGTATTACCGGTGTCCTTATAAGAAGAAAGAGACACTAGGAATGTGTGGGCATATAGAAAAGACCATGTGAGGACAGACAGAAGACAGCCATCTGAAAGCTAAGAGGAGAGGCCTCAGGAGAAACCAATGCTTCTGAAACCTGGATCTTGGACATTTAGTCTTCAGAACTGTAAGAAAGAAATGTCTGCTATTTCAGCCACCATGTCTGTGGTGTTCTGTAATGACAGACTAATAGAATCCCCACAGGGTTCATTCAGACACTGATTACAGCAATTCCTTGCATTCCGTTTATTAGATTGCAATTTCTGTTGTTTTATCTGTTTGCCCCATTGGAATAACAACCAAGGTTCATTTCCTTTTGTTATGTCTAGCACTAGAGGAAACCCCAGCATTAATAGCACAAGATAAGTTTTTGCCTAATTGACGAATGGTGCTGCTGCAACAGAAGTGTCTAGGAGTGTCATAAGAAGAGCCAGACTGTCCTCTTTAACCTAAGTGATCTTTTCACTCAACTTGCAAACTAAATCAACTACCCAGGTGTACAAGTTGCAGGAGAGGGAATTGGAGTATCTTTTTCTAATTTTGAACAAGTGAGATTTCATGGTTTGTAGACTCATTGGTCTTTGTATTTTTTATAGGCTGTGTCATATTAGTGAATTGCTATATTTAGATTCTTGGCGTCTTTTTCTTGTCCTCTTTGTCACTCTATTCAGGCTCTTTTCTTCTCTCCCAAGAGCTCCAAATGGCCCCTGCATACCTATTGCAAGTGTAGAAAGTGTTTGGCCATTGCTCTCCTCACTCTTTACCCAACCCAACTAAACTCTACAGCAGCCCACATTTGAGAGCCTTACTTTCCCCCCAAGCACAAATGGCTATGTTGAAAAACCTTACCACAACTCTGGTAGAGCACTTCCAAGCCCCCGTCCTTGCAGGCTGTGTGTGTGGGCCAGGCTTGACTGCCACCACCCTTGGGAGAAAGAAGAGTCCAGACAAGGAAGGCAGCAGCGAGCCCCTTCATGGTGAGGGCGTGTGTGTGACCAGCAGAAAAATAACAGGCCCAGTAAAAAAGACCTTCAGGGTGGTTCTTCCTCTCCCCTCATTAAGGGGGTGACATGTTCAGTTTCACTTCTCATATTTTATGCTCTTGGGGAACCACTGTGAGAAGCTAAAGGCAGTTAGCAGAAGCATTTGAATACTGTTCCCCTAGGACCTTTGGCACTTGAATCAACAGGGTGAGGCTAGTCTAGGTTGGGGGTAGGTTGGATGTTGACTTTCTGCTTTCACAGTGAGAAACTAGCAAGTAACATATGACCTTATGACTCAGGTCCCCCAATATAGCCATCCTAAGAACCCCAACCCCAGGGGGAGCAGTGAACTCAGTAAAGGTAAGTAAGCCACAGGCTACCACTGTGTTTTCCAGCAGCAAGTTCCTAAGTCTCTGCAGGTTTCTGATGTGGGCTGTGCACTGGGAACCGGCCTGGGGCTGGCAGGCAGCATAGGTCATTTGTGGTCTGGAATGAGGCTTTTGACATAATGGCATTTTTCTCTCCTCTGGTCTCCACTTCCCTCTCTGGGTGAGGATGTCAGCAGTGACTTGTGTAGTTGCTAGCATAGTGCCTTTCCCTGGGAATGGCAAACATGGTTTTTGAAGATGAAGTGGAAGATGAAGTGAGCTGTGTTCTGAGTCTGGGTCCAGCTTGGTGGAAAGGGTAGGGAAGGATGGGGAAGTGAGGACCTCCCTTTTAAGAGTGGGGATACCCTCACTTTAATTGTTTCGGTCATGTGTGGGCTTCTTAATGCCACATCTCACTTTCTTTTCAAAGCCAGGATTCTGTCCCCCTTTTCCACTACCATTGTTGCCCTGCTTCAGGACAGCAAGGTTTCTGAATTGTGATCCCATGCTCCCACCCCAACTGCACCTTAGCTGGAGAAAATCAGAGTCAGGGCCAGAGTCGGCAGATTTTAGGAGCAACAGAGAACACTATTTCATCTGGGAGGAAAAGCATTACTTTGAGCACACTAGGCAAATTAAGTATTTCTGCCGTTGGCTAAATAAGAATTAAGGTCACCTCAAATTTTTTTTAAGTAAATGGAATGTAATTGCCAATAAAGACAAACAAATACATTAACTTAATGGATGGATGCTTTGCATTTCTTAGGGGACGTCAGGGACTAGTCACTTGGGAAAGGGGCAGGAGGACAGGTCTGGATTTTTTTTTCAGGTACTCATCTGCAGATAAGTATAATGCTGTTGGCTTTCAAAGGTAGTTCTGAAAGTATGGTTCCTGGACAATGATGTCAACTTCAACCAGGAGTTTGTTACAAATGCAAATTCTTGGGCTACATGCAAAAGACCAACTGAGTCAGAAACTCTGGGGTGGGGCCCAGCCAGCACTCTGTGTTTTAATAAGCTCCCCTGCTAAGTCTGACATACTCAGGTGTAAAAAGCACTGGCTTTTTTAGAACTCAAGGTGAAACTTGAGCCCCCCAAAAGAGTGAGTTTCTCTCAGGAGACAAGGCAGCATGGCATGGTGTGTGTGCACAGAAGTCAGCAGCACTGTGAACAAGAGCTCAGGTGAGAGCCAGAAGCTTAACGTTTAGAGTCGTGGGCCCTGGTGGAGCATTTAAGCACTGGTAGTTTAGGACAGGAACATGGGTCTTTCGTGTGGGAGCTTTGGGTTCTCTAAAAGTTGTTGTGAGAGCTCTGCACAGGGAGTGAGGAGAGCAACCTAGGCTAAGCCATTCCATCCTGCAGAGCATGGCACGACCAATGCACCAGCAGATGGGCCCGGCATTTAGAGATGTTCAGAATGGATCATTGAGAGACTCTGGAGGCATGGTGATGCCAGAGCCATAGTCAGCAGACTTGGGTGGGCATCAGCATTGGCTGCAGGGCTTGTTAACACATGGATTGTGGGTTCTGCACCTAGAGTTTCTGATTCAGGAGGTCTGGGGTAGGGCCTGAGACCCTGCACTTCTAACAAGCCCCCAGGTGATGCTGATGCTGCTGGTCTGGGGCCACAGTTTGAGAATTTCTGCTCTAGATTATAAAATTTGTTCTCTTGCAGGGTGTGCAATTTTTTAAAATCCTCTTGTTAACAGAACATTCATTTGCTATATGATAGAGAACATTTTGTAAAATATATAACACACCCAAATAGGGATTAAGGAGTAAACCACTTTCTTCAAGGAGCTCAGCTTTCTGAGAACGAAGATGTGAATGAAATCATCAGTCATGGCTCCTTTAATTCAATCAGTCCATGATGTCTTGAGGAGTTCTTTAACTAGAAGCTTTGTAATGATAACAAAATAGTTTATTGAGAATGACCTGTTCCCTAACCATAGAATAAAATTAGAATCAATTTATGATAGTTACTTAAAATACTGTCTTATACATGTAAATGATAACCAAATACATTGTCAGGCTCCGATCCTGACTTTCAACACCTTAAGGAAGTGCTGTTCAGGTCTCGTTCAGATTTGTCTTCTACTTTTTTTGATAACCCTCTTCCTCTGTGCCTTAAGCTTCTCTCTTTTCATAGAGTTTTGCTTGGGATGGTGCCTATCTTTTTGAAGTGTAAAAATGTTATTATCTGGATGGCTGTCCCTAAAAATGTTCTTAAGAAGAAAACTCATGTTTAAGGAGAGACTTTAAGAATAAAATGTGGGATTGTGAGGACAAGAATCCAGCCACATGAGGAAGTAAGGGTGAAGCTGCTCCACAAGAGAAAGTAATATGGACTAGTTTTTGCTGCAGAGAGCAGGCTGAAGAAAAGAGAAAGCAGTGGAGGAAAGAAGGGTAGGGAGCGAGGGGGTGAAAGGCCGCTGTTGGGTGGAGTGAAGTGGCCTGTCTGCAGGTGGGGAGAGCCGAAGCCCTTTTAAGGACACATTCTAGATTGTTTGTTGTGCAGTGTGCTATGAGACAGCCTTCTCCACTTTGTCACCCACTCTTGTTCAGTGGGGACTTACACACGTAAAAATGCTGTGTGTGTGTGTGTGTGTGTGTGTGTGTGTGTGTGTGTGTGTGTGTGCGCGCGCGCGCGCGCATGCACGAAGTTAGAAAAGGCGGAGTTTCATGTTTGCATCAAAGAGCCGTAGGAATCCTGCTTGCTTGGAAAGTGATTCAGTCTTGGGGTGGGCACTGCACTCCCACAGTGCATGGAAGGGGCTTTTGGCCTATTTTATCTACATTTCATATGCCAGCTGATGGTAGATCACCTAACTGTTCTTTAACTGTGAACCGGAATGCCATAGCATTCTTTGTCTCCAACAGCAAATGTGTTTTTACCATCATCTGTGTTCAGCCATGGCTGCTCTCCTTTAGTGCCCCCCAATATTTATTAAGCAACAATTTCCCTTTGTGTAGCACTCCCACTTTGCTTTTTTGCTCTGTGGCCTATCTCTGTATTTCTGCCACGTGACAGTGGGAAGAGAGGCAGGTTTGATCTCCTCTTGCTTCCAGACTGAGTGCAACCTAAAAATAGCTCCTCTGGCATGCAGAAGTCAGGAAGCCAAGCTCCTTCTTGTGTAACACCATTTAGCAGCTCCCCAGCTGACTGCAGAGGCTTTACTCTTTAATTACTTTTACACAGCTGTTACCTGGGCTATATGAATATCTTGTAGAGTTGGTGCCCGCCTACCAAGCTTTTCAGCAGAATCATTCTACAATCTCCCAGATTTCTGGAAGATTCACCCCATGGAAATAGTAAGATCCTCATAAAACCCATTAGATTTTTGGTATCATATATTATGTGTATGTATCTGACAGAAAAATGTAGAAACAGCCTGATTTCCACAGAAAACAGGAATTTTTTAAATTGACTTATTTACCTGTTTTGGATTCATTCACTTATTTATTCAGCAAATATTTATTAAACATTTCTAGCTGCCAGATAGAGTTCCATGTCCTAGAGTACAGCAAAATAAAGTAGTCCCTGATGTCACAGAGCTTGCTTTCTAGTGGGAGAAGGCAATCAGCAAATTTGTTTAGTACAATTATTTAGTAAAAGAAAAGAGACTTTACTTCTTGAAAAATTGCTTGGTTTCCACATAGACAATTGGCCTGAGATTTCTGAAATATCTTCAGCTTACTATTGCATTTATAAACTAAACTCCTGTTTTAAAAAATTTTGCCCCAGACTGGTGGTTTATCAGGGCTTTGCAATAACTGTTTGCCCCAATAGATAAACTGTAGCAAGCCTATCTGAAACACTGCCTCTTCCAATTTACTTATTATTGCCTCATTTTGCCTTATTATTGCCTATTAACATTAACATTTATTTATTCTGGGGACATAATATGCAAACTACTGTATTCCTAAATGTGTCTATAAAATCTATGACAAACTACAAACAGAAATGATTTTTGTTTATTTGGAGAACATGTATGCTAGGTCAAGAAGGAAGTAGGCTTTACAGATCAGTCTGATCAATTTCCCAATGTTGAAAGGGCAACAAATTGCATATCTGATTAAGGCAAAAGAAACTGCTCTGAGATTCAGAGAGAGCAGGTCCAGTCTGAAAGGACTCATGTACACTGTCCAAAATTTCTATGCAGCATGAGAGAAATTAGCAACTTATAGCTAAAACTCTCCTCAGATCCAGATGTTAAGATTTCATGTTGTTAAGATTAAAGTGATTTTGATAAGCTAAAGAAAAAGCATTAGTGAGAAAACCAGAAGTATGGTATAGAATGGGGAGAGTTCCTTTATGCGGTATGAAGAAGGGTCCTAATTAGCTGGTGTAGCTTGAACCCTGGACTCAGGCTTCAACGTGTACCTCCAACTGTGGATGGTACCAGATTTCTGTTGGTCATTATGGAATTTGCACTTGTCATATTTGGGCCACATTGTTTGAGAGCATACTTTACTCAACTGGCATGTGGTAGTTGGAATGAAATAACTTACCCATTGTTTGCACCAGACCCCAGGAGATTTTCTTGACTTCTCTCTCTTGGTGGGTAGTTGTGGGGGGGCACTTAGAATTCTTCTGAAGAGGAATCAGGGAGAGCTTTCTATTCCCCGAAGTAGTCAGTTTACTCAGCTGTAATTTTGATGTATAAATAATAATCTT